GAAGGCATTAGGAATTTCTGTGTTGTTAACAAACCATGTATATTTCATGGCGGGAATTTTCTTGAAGAACTTTGGTGTAGATGTAGACCGACTGTTACACGTTAACGCTGTCTTTTCATTAACTGGGATGTTAAAATTGCCAGTGATAACTGGTTTCGTTGGCCTCCCTTTAAAATAGAATATTAATGCATATACTATTCCAGTCTTCTATTGTTTTTCTATGATTAAAAATTTAAGAATTCTTTCCTGTGGAATCTCTGCATCGTGCTTTTCCCAGCAAACTATAATGTTTTTAGCGTGTTGACTATAATTTTTCAATCATCAAACTTTGACAGCAATATACACTTATTAACCGCATATGAGGTTTAAGTTTTTCAATCAGTTCGAAATGCAGGATTTGCTCTTCGTATTAACAACATCTAAAACGAGGTACATGTAAGTTATTGCCAAAAATTGATAAAACAAAATATCAAAAGTCTTGTTAGGCATCTTTTCGTAAGTTTGGTAATCGTTACAATGGTTTCGGAACAATCTCTACTTAGGTCAGATGCTGACTGACGTTTTAAATTATATTTTGTTAGTACGTTATTTTCTCATTAAACTGTCGACGTATTTTTTTCTTTTTTCCTGTCTTGATAAACTGCACACGCTTTTTTGAAATTTTGAAAATTAGATTTTTTACTTGAAAAAGGCGTTAATGGTAATCTAACAACCAGGCTATATGATAAACATGATGACTTTAACTTTTCTATCGTCAGCTTCCCTTGCTTATGCAGCAACATACCTTCATCACCTGCATACGGAGTCTATATATCCCAGTTGATTCGACACGCAAGAGCATGCTCTACGTATTAACAATTTCTAAAACGAGGTAAATTATTAACAAGCATGTTGATGAAACAAGAATATCAACAGTCTCGTTTAAAGTCATCATTTCGCAAATTTTATGGTCGCTACAATGACCTTGTCAGCAAATACAATTTATCATTGAGGCAAATGCTGACTGACGTTTTTCATAACTATTGTTAGTCCATTTTTATACACTGAATTGACGACGGCTTTTTCCATTACTTCCCGATCATGACAAGGAGCACACGGCGGGTGTGACCGGTCAGCAGGGGATGCTCACTCCTCCATGGCACCTGATCTCACCTCTGATGTTTCGGACGTCCGTGTTTGCTCTGCTCCAATTTTGTATTGTTTTATCGACTTTGTTATTGAATACTGTTCGTTATCTCCATATCCTTCTTCTTAAATCAATTTTTGAGCTTCAATTTTGTTTGTTTGTTTATGTTATCAATTGAACTTGTTCTGCAAGTATAAAAATGAAGTAAGACAATCCGGGTCTTTAACTGTCATGACTGTATAAACTAAGCTCATATACAGTGTTTTAAAACAAATTCCTATTTTAAAAAAGGCAACGTGGTAGCAATCTCACAGGCGTTACTTTTACGGTTTCTTGATAAACAAGAACCTGCATTTATATCTAAAAATTCATTTCAAGTGTTAGAAATTAATTAAAAGGTGTAATACATTATAAATAAAACTATCTGGATGGTGTGATTCTTATATAATTATTTTCTTATTGTACTGCTTTCCATGTAACTTTTATTCAATGAAATTATAAAGACACGGATTACAGCAAGTTAACCACTTTATTGTCACAATAACAGTACACATAGGAGCGCGGATCCTATAATAGGCGCAAGTGTGTCCCTGTTTACAAGAGGTGACGAGATCTAAGGGTGATCGATCGTTGTTTGATCGTTTGATTGTTTGATTGGTAAAAAGTTAAAATAAACAAATACAAATATACAAATACATGCTATAAACAAACATACTACAAACTTACTACAAAGACAAATTGTTTGAATGAACTACATCAAATTACATTGCTGACAAATTACATTACACAGTTTAACTCGCTAAAAGTACACATGAACTTTTACAAAGGTATTTAATGTCGCTTAACATTAGCCTTAAAACGGCAACTTTACAACAGTAAATAGATAACTTGTAAATATGGAACGCCATCACTGCCTTATAGCAGAACACTACAATTGCATTGTGTCAACTTTCCATTACATTATGTCAACACATTGTGACATTTACTTACAGTACTATTGCGTTATGACAATTTTCCATTACATTATGTCAACTCTTTATGACATTTACAAACGCTACTATTGCGTTTTGTCAACTTTCCATTACATTATGTCAACTCTTTATGACATTTACACACACTACTATTGCGTTATGTCAACTTTACATTACATTTTGTCAACTCTTTATGACATTAATACACACTACTATTGCGTTATGTCAACTTTCCATTACATTATGTTAAGTCTTTATTGCATTAACTCGCACTTCAATTACATTGCGCCAATCTTCCATTGCATTATATCAGCTCTTTATGACATTAAGTCAAAACAATTTTGCGTGGTGTAAAGATGTTATTATATAATTTAAACTCATTATTACATTATGTGCACTCTCTACTATTTGGTCTAAGTAGTTCATTACATGATGTGAATTTATCTTTAATTCAATATCAAGTCGCTATAATACGATGTCAAAATTTCATATATGATGTGAAAAAAATTGTCACATGTTGCCAATTCTTTACAATATTGTGTCATCAATATGCTACATGACACCGGGAATTTATTACATGATGTCAATTTTCCCTTACTTTTTGACAAATCATTATTATGTTATGCCATTGTATCTCTACATTGTGTCTAAAATGCTTAGCCTCTTGTCAGTATATCTTAGAATATTTCAACTCTTTATTATGTGACGTAAGGTTTATGTTATGCCTAAAAGTTCGTTTTGTGTTTTCAATATTACATGCACATATGTTAAACTTGCAAATGATTTAAATTAAACGTATCAAATATCAAATTATACACAAGACTTAATTCATCCTTAATTAAATATCAGGTTAAATTAAAAATAGGATCATGTTCCCATGGAATCTTTATTGACGATTTGAAAAGTCCGAAACTTCTGATCTAACTACAAAACACTGTCCTAAGCTTTTTATCAGTCTTTAACCCTCCTTAAAAAAAAGTGTAAATACATCGTATTTCATACGTGCACTGGTGGGTCGATGGGGAAAGGGAGGATCCCGCCCTCCCATCTTTAGTGACCAAAATATATGCATGAAATTAATCAATTGATTTTACTTTGTAGGACATTGCATTAGTTTTACATAAAGTATAACTGAAATAAGTTGAAACTTTTTATTAAAAAAATCTAAAGCCTGAGAGCTTTCGGGCTTTCACCCCCTGGTCCCCAACTTAGACACCATATCGTCCCCCTATAGCTACTCTTTTCAAGAACCGAAGATCGCAACTGATATGAGCCCGTGTTAATTTAAGTGAAAACGTAGATTCTGGTCCTGGAATGGTTGAAAAATTACTAATTCCAGTGGACGTTGCATCGTTTTTGAAAGCTGGGGGAGGTTTGTCAGCCAGAAAAAAATAACGTACAAGAAAAAGCGAAAAAAAAAAATCCAAACTCGAAAATCCTATTTCGGGTGAAAGGAAGGGGGGGGGGGGGTCCAACTTCGATCAATTCTTTAAAAAATTCCAAATATACTACATTACCCTTATACTTCAGCAAAAAGTGGGACTGAATTTCAATGAACATTTTCTATGATAAAGTTATGTCGGAAAAAAGAGGAAGTCAGACCCCTCCCCCCCTCATATAATGTGTCTGTAATTCGTCCTAATTAATCAGGACCCCCCCCCCCTTCCCAGTCCTGAAAACACGGTTATCAACTTTGACATAATGTAAATGTATTTTACAGCGCGTAATGAACATTTGTAATCAACATGATAAAGAATTAACACAATGTAAAGATAGTTTTAAATCATATAAGAAAGAGTTAACATATTCTTATTAAATATCCACATAAAGGAATGGAGTTTTGACATAACGTAATAAAGTGTTGATATAATATGGAACGCCGTGACTGTCTCCATAATATATGTTCACATTATGTTATAAACCTTTTTACATCACGTAATAAAGCACTGACATAAAGGTAAGATGTATTCACCTCACATTGTGATGACCTCGGCATAAAATAAAGATAAATTAACATCACGTATTAATGCTTTGTTATAATAGAAATATACACTCACAAAAGGGAATGGACTTTGACTAAATGTAATGATAAATTTAATCATAGAACACATGTAAAACGCAATTAACTTGACGTAATGCAATTTTGACCTCACATATTAAAGAAATGAAATAATATAAAGAAACATTCATATCACGTAATTAAGTTTTAACACAATGTAAACATATTTTCACTTCACATAATGAACTTTGGTCTTCAAGTTATAAAGTGCCGACATAATGGAAGAATGTGTTTACTTCATGTAATGCAGCATTGACATGATGTAAAGATATTTTTACATCACCAGATAAAAAAATGATATAAAGTAAAGATATGTTCACATCACGTAATGATAGATTGAAATAATGAATGCATACACTGTAAAAAATAAGTGTTTAAGAAATAAACACCAAATTGCAACAGATAATAAACACTTCAACACGTTTAAGATTTAAACACCCCGTGAAGTGTTTAAGAAATAAACACGTTAGAATGTTTAAATTCTAAACACACGAGGTTTAATATTTAAATACTTCTTTTTCATTCTGTTTAAATATTAAACACTTCAAAAACACAAAATGTGTAAATATTAAACACGGAATTAATACATAGAGTTTACTAGATAAACACCGTGAATGTTTAATATGTAAACATATCGTGTTTAATTAATAAACATGTTCAACCTAAACATCTAAACACGTAAACATGTTTATTCGATGCAACAGATAATAATCACCTTAAACATGTTTATACATCAATTTTTAAACACTTCAACATGTTTATTTTACCAAATAAATAAACACTTAAACGTGTTTATAAGTTTTCAACATTTTATTTGAAACAAACATAAAACAGTACAAAACAAATAATTTGGTTGATAATAAACATGTTGTACATAAAGTTTTTTTAAATTGATAAATGATTTAATGTTGGATTTGGGGGTTCAAACTTAATAAACAATTATAACATTAAACAACACATTCATTTACAAATAGATACATTTCAACTTAAGTTAAAAAAAAATAGAATTATCAAAACAAACTAGCACGAACATGTAAAACCTGCATGTGTAAACTAAAACCCAATAAACTGATTTCGGGAAGGGGTGTCTTTGAAATAGAAAATAAAATACATTATCGATTAATAAAATGAAATATTTTTCATCAGTAAAATTTTAAAAAGGGCTAGGTCGTCCTTTGCATCTTTTTTTTTAAATAATAAAAGAATCAAATCCATGAATATATATGATGCAAAAAGACTGAAAATGTCATTTGTTGTCTGGGTACGGGATGTACATGTATATACACGTATTACACTCAGTCTGATAAATCCAGTTGTAAAGTTTACTTTCATAATTATTCAAAGTTTTATGATCAAATGAAGAAATTTTCCAGTTTTGAACTGTAAAGGACTAATTCATTAAATATTCTCGATACTATACATGGGCTGCCGGGGTATCACTCACTCAATTCCATATAATATTCTAAGCGAGTTAAACAGTCTAGCTCCTCTGGTTGTGGGTAAAATTCAGGTTCTCGATCTACAACGGATGATGATCTCCAGTTTTCTATTCTCCAAAATTGTATCCACACTAAGTAGTTCTACTTCCTTCTTCTCTTCAGAAATATCCTGAAAAATAGATAGATGAAAAAATATTCACTATGTAAATGCAGATAATTATATGCAAAAGAATACATTGAGATCGAAAACTAAAATGATTTGTTACACTTCACGCCAATTTTAATTATATAATACATTCTGAGACAAGTTTGGAATAAAAATCTGCAATTGAAATAAATCATATAAGCGTACAGTGTGTACACTAAAAAATTTAAATGTTCATGTACCTGCAGAATCAACCCAACACTGAACAGCAAAAATTAAGAGAAGGGTAGGGGGCTACCTTGTCTCAAGACATTTTCTACGCAAACCATGTACATGTATGTGCGCGGGCTGGAGATGAAAATTTTTGTACATGCGCGATTGTAGTATTGTTGCATGTTAGGGAACGTAAACGTAAGCAAGGGCAGGTACCTAACTGGATTACATTTATTTATCAGGAATCAATGGTCTATGTGTGGGAGGGGGGTCTTTTAAGACTCACCTCTCAAGGTTAAGTATGATCTTCGTTTAAAATCCCGTTTCTTTATCAAGTGATGTATGCTTCTCAGGATTCACAATAACAGATGAATGTCCCTGCAAATTAATCAGATATCAAGACTACAATATTTTATGTCTATATCAGTGCATGGCCGCATTGCACTCAGACGATTACTAAGTATAGGTAAAAACCCTGCATTCAAAAATGAAAAACATTTCAGATCTCTAATCATGTATTAAGCATTCTTTTTTAAAATATTCAACATAAAGAAATGTATAAATACCTCCTATTTCATTGTTGAATATGGTGTTTCTTTGTCAGTATATGCCTGATTCTACATCTTCTGCGTTCAAATGCCATGTTATGACATAATCAACTGCGTCATTTTCTAACATAACGTATTAAACACTGGTGTTTAATTTGCAATTTCTATATAAATACCATGTGTTTAATTTATAAATATATATGATTAAGAAATGAACACTCGTGTTAAACACCGGTGATTAAAATATTAATACAATAATAGAAATCATCATAATATTGGTTTTTATTTCCCCTTTAGAAGTTTGTAAAAATTTTGAAATTTTGGCACAAAATTACTACTTATTAATGCTAATTGTAATTGCTTTTGGTATGATCTAAAGTCAACATATTGCCTTGCAATTCATATTTTTTTTCTGTGTCGAAAAATGTCTACCATTATGTGCGGAATTGCTTCATAAATTAAGATATTGTAAAAATGGTGAATTCCTACAGCAAATACTGAGAAGCAACATCTACTTTATTTTTTGATTTGATGCATATGAACATTACGTGTTTAAGACGGATGATTTGATATAAGTTAGAAGTAAAAACTTGAAATTACACTTTAAATGCTAAAGAATTAAGTACCGCAATATAATGAGACACAAGTATACTACTTTTTTTATGTAGCATTTCAGAGTACTGGTAGAATTTAAAAATTACAATATACTTATTGAACACCAGTTTAAATACTAGTATCAGTGTTTATATATAAAACACTAATGTTTTGTATTTAAACCCTCTATGTTTAATTGTAAAATACGACTGTTTAAAAATAAAACACAAGTTAAACATCATTTTTTACAGTGAAGTTTTATGCTATAAGGCAGTGATGGCGTTCCATATGTAAAACTTAACTTGTGATCGGCCACAGTTTCTCCGAGTTTAAAAACGTCTGGATAGTACTACTAGCTGAGTCTTTTACAAGAATGAAATATGTGTGTGAAAATACAGACTATATAATAAAACCTACACATGCAGGAAACAGCATAGTTTCATAATTAAAATAAATATCAAACTGCGGGCTCTCCCAGTTATATAAACAAAATGCAGCTGATTTTAGCTTCAACATAAACAGCAGACGGGACCTTATGGTCAGTCAGCGAAATTCAAGCGTGAGAATATTGTTATAAAAACAGTTGGAACAACGAACAATGTATTTAGTCATTCAAGATTTGACATATTTGCTAATGCACCTAAAATGCACAATCTGCAATTCTAAATAACAAGTATACAAAATGTAAGACGTTACACTTATTGAATTCTGTCAACGAGGTTAGTAGGTGCTGTTATCATAAATATATGAGAAATAGTCGATCGATTTTTTTAAATGTAAAAATAGTGAAAGGGTTTGATGCGAAATAATTTTTTCTGAAGAGGAAGTACTTTTAACATGAGCTTGAACATACATGTACTATTTGCAGAATGGTACTTTACAAAACTGCACTTGTTTTCAACTGCTTAACGTTGGGTAAACAAAACCCTTAATGTAAATTTTTTCCTGTTTTGATGTGTTAAAAGGCAATTAAATAAATATACAAAGTATGCTTATTTCAACTTTTTAAATTCACATACTATATTACAACTTCCTAAATATATATCATTGATTTTACCTTTTGCTCTAATCGTATTGTTTTTTAAAACGTGACTATTTAGTGAGGTACGAGTTCCTTCCTGTCTAAAAAAACAATAGGATTAGATGATGGAATGTTCACGGTTTTGTTTGCAACTAAATGAAGACAAAATATATAAAACCAACTAGATAATCGCAAGTTACGCGACCTACTTAAATGCGAATATTTATCCCAGCAAACCATTTAAAATGCTTTGTATTTGTAAGGAATAACTCTTCAGTCACAGAAAGTAATCGTCTTCAATTGATTTCAAACGGAAAAATCGTGAATAAAAACTAGTACAGATAAATGTTGGTTTACAGTGTATAATGGGGCTTTCTCTAAATATGTAAAATCATAAAGAAAAGTCAAAAACGAGGATCGTTCGAAAAGTTCGTGGACTTCTGTCATATTTTTTTAATTGACGTCATATGTTATCCAAATTTGGTACATATATTTAAACAATAAATTCAAATGACTTGTATTAATATTTTTTATTGTAACAATTTATTTAAAAGTCATTCAGATTTAAAAAATGCAAAAAACGGGCCACGGAGCAGGTCATAAGTTACAAAAAATACACTAAATAATGTCTGAAGTCACATTCTCTGTAAAATGGAGTAAAAACGTAAAACAACATAAAAATTAAAGTTAAGAAATGATTTGTATTTCAAATTCTCGCTTAATATTTTGCTTTGTTGAATAGAAATCAACTTTAGATAATAGGGAGTCCACATTGAAAACGACAAAAACGATGACGCTACAGAACGTCACGTACCAGCAGATAACGATGCAATTGTGTGTTTTACTCAGGCAAAATTCTAAATAAAATCTTTAAAAATTGTAGGTCTATTAAAGTATGGCAGAAGCGAGCAGTGCATGTGGGGACAAATAGTACGGGCAGTATTTGAGTGATAGAGACTTTGTATCGGAAAAGGACAATCTGTGAGGACGCACTTTAACTGTAAAAAATCATATGCATATGCGCTTCAGAGTTGCTTATCCTGAGAAAACAGAGTAAAGTTTTAAAAGAAACTATAACCTTAGCAAAGTAAATTATAAAACGAAAGCAACTTAAAAAAAAAATAAAAGTCAAGTATTAAAAACTGTTTTTAATGAGTGGGTATTGTATAATATTGTGTGAAATTGTATAGGCCTAGGGATAGTATCTTTTATTATATTTCTGTTAAAATGTTTCCTATATAAAGTTTAGAAGGTTAAATAACTATTTTTCATCATAGTCCATTAGTCCACGTTACATTGCCTGTAAACAACACTATTTATTGTATGTATTATATTGTCCTTATTTTAATTTTCCAGTGAGAAATATGAGGATTGACATCGTCCACGAACGTTTCCAACAACCCTCGTACAATAGGACTCATTCGTCATATTTATGACGTCAGGTGTCGCTGGTGTACTAGAGGTGGTTACGTAAACGCTTTAATCACAGCGGCGCTTGTAACATTGTAAACAAATGGACGTGTTCTCGAACTTGGAGCTAAACGGAGGGGCTGAATCGATCTTTAATCGAGCTGTCACAGCCGGAAGAAGGATTTATTCCAATCTTGGGTAATTATTGTTTGTAAATATTATACATTTATAGAAACTTTCTAAGAATTATCGAGTGTAACATGCCTATATGACGAAGATAGTACGACAAAGCATTGAATTTACAATCGACATTTTTGTAAATTGTCAGATGTATAATCATCTTTACCACTTACACAAACACTAGATTCAAATGGAATTAGTATATGATATGAATGCTTTTAGCTATATGTTGTTATTTATCCCTTTATACATGACAATCATCGCACAGCTAGGTTATAATGTAGGTCTACACTGGTTACATGCATTTCGTTTTTGTTGTTTAAAGAGCAACGTCCCAAATGATCATCAAGGGTAATTAAGTGCAACGTAATATTTATTGCAAGGCAAATACAAACTAAACATTCATTTTATTTGAACAGATCACAAAAAATAATAATAAATAAAACTGAAACAAACACAAACATCTGACACATTTCAACCCTCGCCAAAAGACTCTCCAGAACTTACAAAGAGATACATTAAATGGCCATTCATTGATATTGGATAAAGATAAATGATTTCGGATCAGCCTCATATTTTTTTTTTTTTTTAATTAAAAAATTTCAAAAATTGAGACTGGTACTTTTACTTTGATGTAAGTTGCCAACATTTCGCAGTGGTTAGAGTGTCTGCTCTGTCTACAGTCGCCAAAGCTAAAAACTTAACCCAATGTCGCATGTTCAAATCCACTGCATAACGTGGATTCTGTCCTACAGATAAGACCGTAAAAACCGTGGTCCTGTATTGCAGTAGGTGTTGTCACAAAAAAGATACATCAGTGCTCAATGGCCCAGAGTGCTGAGAATAGGTATATTTGCAGTCCGCCGTCAGCAAATGATGGTGTCTCCATACGAGTAAAAAATTCTTAAGAGGGACATCAGACAACAAACAAACATAGATTTAATATGTTTAATAAAAGGAATATAAACATGCAGTAGCTGTTATTGTACAACTAAATACAAAAAACATATAATTTTACAGTCCTCTGAAAAAAAAGAAATTATTATCAGGACTATGGATAGACCTCACTTACAGGCTGGCTGTATATTTGTTTCTAAATAAAAGCCTATAGTGAGTAAATTGGGTTGTTTTTTAATTACTTAAGAATATATTTTTTTTTTCGTTTTATTTTATTTAGGAGATCAGCAGGTAAAATAAGACGTCAAAGCTTACAGTGAGCTTTATTATGGCTGGATGGTACATATAACATAAAAATTCTATTTTTCCGCATCCAATTCATGAAATGGCACCCATCCTATTGTCAGTGCTGCCAGGGGAAAAAAAGTACTGGTATGCAGTTGCATTTGTGTTTTTTAAATAATAGAAAGTACTCATAAATTATATTATTATACCTCTACTGTAATTACTCTATATAAAAGTAATACCATAAAACTGTCTATTTCCCCGAGAAGAAACTATTGTGCTCATCTGAATACTACTCCCTGGAAAATCAGAGCTACTCCCTGGGACTACTCCCTCATGAATATTTAGTAGTAATTTTAACCAATCAAAGTGTTCAGTGGGCGGAGGGTTCAAGGAATCTCGAGTCTGTGACGTCATGTTATTAGCAATGTAACTATGACGTCAAAACATTTCGAGATGCGATGTCAAAATCATACTTGGATTCTAGCAAAATGAAGACAACGGTAATTCTTCGAAATGTCAGTGAAAATACTTTTTAAAAATAATTCAGTTGTTTTAGGACAGGATGCCTCGGGAAATAGTTTCCTCCCTCGGGGAACCATAAATTTGCTATTTCCCTCGTACCCATTCCATAACTGTATACTAAAGCAATACTTCAATGCTTCCAATTTAAATTCTTAAAAAAATGTATTTCCTTTTATTATCACTAGGTGTATTACAACCTAAGACAAAGTGTTGAGATGTTTGGCAGTCCTATACATTCACAGAGAAAATGTTCTGCTGGAAATATGGGGAAACATTCAGCCTGTACACACATAGACTAGTTATGCTCATGCTTGGAAAATTCTCTAATAATATGAAATACAATAATCTTGTGTGCAGTATCTTCAGGCTTTTCACAGATTTACAATTACAATAGTAAGGATTCCATTTTAATTTGAAAAATAGATTAATTTTATAAATTAAAAATATTTAAAGACAGTTTAATTGATCAATAAACAAGTACACTCATGATAATGCTATTAACTCTATACTAATTGCTACTTATTCTTATTTGAAGGGATTCCACCAAAAAACTGAAAGAGAAAAGAAGTTGATATACTCAAACAATCCC